ACATGTGCCCAGGCATGAGTGGTTCAAATAGGTGTTTTTAACCTACTGTGCGCTGAAGCCTGACTGTGCGCTCCCTCTCATGTTGCTCACTGTCATGCAAGGGGACAGTGTTGACACTGGGTGACCTGCACTGTATGGGAAAACACAGAACTGCAGGGCCCCTGAGGAGGACCCCAGACTCAGCTGGCAGCCAGGGCCTGGGGGTGACCCAGGGCAAAGCAGGGACAGGGGAGGGACAGGGGTGGGGACCCGAGCAGAGGCTCCAGGATGTGCGAGGCCTGGGATGGGGAGGCTGAGACAGCAGCTTCCCTCCCTGGCTTTAGTGGACGCTCCCGCACTCTTTCTGAGGCCTCACCCTGTCCTGTCCCCCAGCCGCAGATGTCAGCCAGGTCTCACGCTTTACCACCCAACTCCCAGGCATCCTGCAGAGCCCCGCTGAGATGGCCCAGCCTGGGGAAGCTCTCCAGGCCAAACTGCCCTTCATCCTGGCTCAGTTCCTCCTGCATTAGGGTGTTCTGTGCAGGACCATTTTCCTGGGTTTCTTGAAAAAAACAAAAGTATGATGTTAGCACCTATTATTAAGCACCTAGAGTATACCACCAGGCTTTGTATATAGCAGGAGTCGTAATCGCAGTAGAAGCGTCAGAGTGGACATTGCAATTGCCCTCGGTGTCCATGGGAGCTGCTTCCAGGACCTCCCATGGATACAGCCCCTCAGCCCCTCATGTGAAGTGGCAGGGTACTGGCATGTGACCTGCACACCTCTTCCCTCATGATGCTGAACACAAGGCAAACGCTCTGTGTGTCACTGTCACACTGTCGTGCTAGGAAGCCAGAACCTTCCAGAAAGTCTGCTCTCTCGTGTGCAGGACACAGCACATTCCCCATGGAATATCATCCATCCTTGGTTGGTTGAGTGGACTCCTGAGGGGTCTAGGCACTGTAGTGATGACTTTGATATGCACTGTTCATTGAGCACTTACTGTATCCCAGGGTCCACAGAAACAATGGCAGCTGTCCCCTGTACCTCCCCCATCTGAGGAGCTTCCCTGTCCCCGCCACCTGCCAGGCCAATGGCTCACTAGACCCAGACAGCAGCCCCAGGGTGGCTCTGTCCTCAGCCCCTTCCTCAGATGGGTGCAGGGGCTGGGGAGAGGCAGAGCCAGAGCCATAGAGCAGCCTCTGGAGGCCAGCTCCACGGTCACCCTCCCTGCCAGCGGGTGAACAGTGACACAGGTAACATCTACTGTA